CAACAGTTTGAACCACAAACCCGGCAGCTTAAAATTCATGCTGGGTGTGTGTGCGTGTGTGACCAAGAGAATGGAGAAGGGACTGTGGTGTGGCCATCCTCCTGGGGATGATTTCTTGCTTTCTGTCTCTCTGTCTCTCCAGCAAGTGCATGCACCCTATAGCAAAAATCTTAAAAGCAGTGAGAAGAAAGGGACATTTAACTGTGTTGTTTGTGTTATTCAGGTGTGTATCAGTTCTTTATGTATGAGGGGTCTTCAGAAGGTCCATGGAGGCCCAGCCTAGGTGGCACGATCTGTAGAGTACTGGATATTTTATATGAGCAGAAAGTTTTGATTTTCACCAAGTCCAGATGATAATTTTTTTCCTATATGGTTAATGCTTTTTTGTGTCCTAAGAAATCTTTTCTTCGCCAAAGTCAGAAAGATGTTTTCCATTTTTTAAAAGAAGACCTTTTTCCTTCCTTCCTTCCTTCCTTCCTTCCTTCTTTCCTTCCTTCCTTCCTTCCTTCCTTCCTTCCTTCCTTCCTTTTCCTTTCCCCTCCCTCAGTCCCTCCCTTCCTTCCTTCCTTTATTGTTGTTGTAGGGCATGTGCACTTGTCAGAGATGGAGACAGAAAGGGAATGTGAGAAATCACTCCTCAAGGAGGATGACCACACTGCAGTCCCTTCTCTTCCATTCTTCTTTTCGGATCTTGGGCACACACGCACATGTGCCTAGCATGATCTTCAAGCTACTGGGTCTGGAACTCAAGCTGTGCAGTTGACCACGTGGGATCCAGCTACTGCAATCTGCTAGCCCCTCTGTTTTTTCTTCTAAAAATTTATGGTTTAACTCTTAATGTTTAGGTTTTCTTATCTATTTCAAGTTAATTTTTGCAAACGGTGTGCGTAAAGGTTGAAGTTCATTTTTCCCCATAAGGATATCCATTTATTACAATGCTGTTGATTGAAAAAAGAAGTTATTTTTCCCAGCTTCATGGAAATCAACTGGCTTTGTGTAAATGTGGTCTGATTCTGTACTCTGTGCTCTTCTGATCCGTTTGACTACCCATCATTAATATGCAGTGTTGTGAGTACTGTAGCTTTATAAGAAGTCTTGAAGTCCAGGTAGTTTATGTCCCCCCAGTTGTACTCTCGCTTTGAAAATTATTTAAGCTAGTCTAGATTCTTTGCATTTCCATGTAAATTTGATAACAACTTGTCAATTTCTGCAACAAAGTTTGCTGTGATTTTGATTGGGATTGGGTTGAATCTGCAGATAAATTTGGAGAGAATTTGATACCCTAACAAAATTGAATCTCCTAGTTTATTAATATGTTGTATCTCTATTTATTCTTAATTTTTTCCTCAGCATTATATTATAGTTTCATTATTCAAGTCTTGCACTTCTAAGTATTTCATGTTTTTTATGCTATTGTTAATGTTTTAAAGTTTATTTTCCAATTGTTTATTGTTAGTGGGAAATAGAGTTAATTTTTATATGTGGACTGTGTATCCTAAGACCTTGCTAAATTTCCTTACAAACTTTAGTAGCTTATTAATTGCAGATTTCTTAGGATTTTGTACATATATGATCATGTTTGCAAAAAAATTTTACTTTTCAATCTGTGTGCCTTTAATTTTTCTTGCCTTTATTGCAATGAGAGAGACTTACAAAAAGTTTATGGAAAACAGAGTAAAAGTACTAGTTTATTTGGTGCATAGAAATTGAAATTCATGCATAGTTTTTTTTTTCATGAAATGCATTACGTATGAACTTTTTTTTTTTTTTTTGGAGAGGTTTTTGCTATTGGGCGCGGGCGCTTACCAGAAAGACAGAGAGAGACAGAGAGACAGGAAATGAGAAATCACCCCTCAGGGGGGATGGCCACACCACAATCCCTTTTCCTCCATTCTCCTCTCTGGATCTTGGGCACGCACGCACATGTGCTTGGTGTGAGTTTAAACCACCAAGTCCGGGATTTGAACTACGGTCGACTACATGGGAGACATAGCCATTACACCAACTGCTAGTCCCTCATCTATGAACTTTTTGAAGGCTCCTTCTATGTCTTTTTATACTATGTTGAATAAAAGCGGTGAGAAACTGGGCCAGCCAGTGGCATGATGGTTGAGGTGGCTGCATCAGATATGGCCAACTGCACGGTTTGAGTCCCAGACTGAGAGGCTTGAAAAACATGCCAGGCACAAATGCATACATGCCCCCAAATCCTGGAGGAGAATGGAGGAGAGGGGATTGTAGCATAGTCATTCCCCCAGAGGTGCTTCCTCTCCCTCTCTCTCTCTCTGTCTCTCTTTAGTGAGTGTACACACCCTATAGCCAGAAAGAAAAAAAAAGAGATATTATTGCCTTTTTCCCAATCTTAAGGGAATAGTGTTCCGTCTTTTACCACTTAACATATCAGGTCCAGCTTTTCTTAGGCGCCTTTTATCAAACTGTTAAATTCTCTTCGATTTCTAATTTTCTAAAGGGTTTATTCTTCCAGTTACAAATGGGGTGAATTTTTTCAAATGCTTTTTCTGCACCTACTAAGATAATTGTAGGGTGTTTTTGAATAGATTTTAATAACTGAAAAAGTCTGACTCGTTTTGTAGTATTAAAAGAATAAACAAAACAATTTTTATAATTATTAAACTTTATTATTTTTTAATTTGACCAGAGAGAGAGAGTGTGTGTGTGTGAAAAGGCAAGTCACCAGGTCCAGGACCTGAACCACAGTCAGCTATGTGGGAGTCCAGTGCCCTAACCATCACAACACCTGCCAAGCCCTGAAACAAAACAATTTTTAAAATTGTCAAAAATGTTAGATTTTCTCAACCTCTGTTTTAGTTAAAACTTTTGAGGCAAGCTTGAGAAAATGGTCTCTAGGCATTGGATTATGTGACTAAGTTAGTTTTAGGGAATTTTTAAAAGATAAAGCTTGTGGGGAACATGACTAGAAAGCTGGACCAGCACTTAGAGGTTAAAATGTTCACTGATGGTAGAGGGTCAAATCAAGAAGTTGGGGGGTTAAGGAATGGGATATAAAGGATCTCACAGACTAAGAGACCCATGGGATGAGAGATGCTGGGGAACGAGGTGTCTCAGGATATAACTGAGTTAAAGGGATGAACATGGCATGTCTGTTGGAACACAATTGAGGCATTTCTTGTTTAATTAATTCTTGTTGATTAATTCTTATTGGGGGAATATACAAAGTCACAGCCTGTTTGTGAGAATAGCAAGCCACATTGTAAATTAATCTGGCAAAAATCAGAATAGTTAATTCAGCTATAAAAACATTTTCTAAATTATTAATACAGTTACCTATCTTATTAAAATGCATTAAAACTTTTTTTTTGAAATAATCTGGTCATTTTTTGAAAGCTACAGAATATTAATAGATATACAACAAGAGCAAGTAGGGGGACCAGCAGATGGTGTGGTGGTTAAGGTGCTGGACACTCCCACATGGCTGACCACGGTTTGAGACACAGACCTGGTGACTTGCTTTTTCACTTTCTCTCTCTCTCTCTCTCTGGTAAAACTTAAAAAAATAAATAAGTGAATAAATAAATAAAATAAATAATTCTTTTTTAAAAAAAGAGCAAGTAGGAGTTCTCCTTACAACATCTGTGTTGGAAGTGTCTTATGCTGCTTTGCTATTTACTCTCTTGTCACTGAAATACCCTCAGTATATGTCATTTGTAAAGTTTATAGGTTTTACCATTTGTTGCCAGTAATTTTCAGGTTAAAAAAATTTAGCTGGAAATTTTCATCTTTTTCTTCTCAGTTTGACCCACTCACTTAAAACCCATTAACCTGAGGGAACCAGCAGTTAGCGTAATGGCTATGTCGCTGGACTCCCACGTAGTCGACCGCGGTTCGTGTCCCGGACCCGGTGGCTTAAAACTCACGCCGGGCGTGTGTGCGTGCGTGCCCAAGATCCCGAGAGGAGAATGGAGGAGAAGGGATTGCGGCGTGACCATCCCCCCGGGGGGTGATTTCTCGCTTTCTGTCTCTATGTCTCTCTCTGTCTGTCTGGCGAGCACACGCGCCCTATAGTGAAAAAACTCTCCAAATAAATAAATAAATAAATAAAACCCATTAACCTGAGAAAAAATAAATAAAAGGTAACAAGGACCACCAACCTATAGAAGTTTCCTGGTAGCAGAGAAAGAAACCTCACATCTTGCCTGTAGTGAAGAAAAGCTGAATCTCAAAAGCACCCTAAAATTTCATTAGGAATCCACTATAAACTTCAGAAGCAAGAAAAGAATTTTCATAATTTTTATTTGTTTTCTTTTAAGGCTTTTGCCATAGAGCTTGTGCGCTTGCAGGAGACAATTAGAGCAAGAGAGAATGTGAGAAATTATTCCACAGGGAGGTTGTCCACACTTCGATTCCTTCTCCTTCATTTTCTCCCAAAGATTTTGGGCATGTACACACACATGTGCCTGGTGTGATTTTCAAGCCCCTCTCCAAGACTCTGAGATGAACCGTGTGGGAGTCCAGCGCCTTAACCACTACGCCACCTGCTGACCTGGATTTTCAGAGTTTTAATAACCAACAATGTAGCTGATTAGCTCTTCAAATTCTATATTAGTCTTTTATCAAGAGTTCTGCGCAACATCTTTGATATATTGAGATTTTGGTATTGTTACTATTTGTCTCACCCACGTGAGTTTAATTTCTGAAGATTTTTTAAATAATGATTTTCTTTGTATCAGACTGTCATCAAAGTTTATTTGTTGGCAAAACGTATTCCTACAGGCTTGAAAGAATGGTTTAAGTGAAAGTTGATAGAAGTGCTGATTAGCAATTGCTCTGCCAAGAATAAATTTCTCGTGTTGTGTAGTTATCACTTTTGGTCAGCTGTACTGACAGAACTGGGCTAAGATATTTTCCTGTCTGGTAATCAAGGCCACACAGACAAAGCTTAAGGAAGGATGACCCGTGCCTCAGGAAGTTTTGAATCATTGCTATTTATAACCAGTATGCAGTATAACTTGGGATCAGGTCTTTACTCATTTGGTAGGATAAGTTTTGTGCCAAGTTTTACATTTGATGAAGGAAACAGTTTATGGGCCTGAGTAAACCTTCTTTGTGAAAGGAAGGAATGTGACAGTCACTGTAAGTATTTTTGCCAATATGGGTCAAGGGTGTGGTACAGAAATTTAGGAAGTTCAGTCAGTGACAAAATAGATGATTACATTTAAAGCAACTGACAGGTAATGAGTACCTTGGATTGTCTTCAGCATGGTGTATATAGAATAGTAAAGTCGAAATAAGAGTATGTCATGGGCTGTTATTTTCTATCAACATAGGACAGGAGGGGGAAATTAGCTATTGGTGTGTCTCTAGACTAACTGGCTTTTGCTCTAGACATGTACGTAAACTTTTTGGTTATTTGAAATGTACTTCTATATGCATGCTTTTTATAATAATCGATCCTTATTTAATTAAGAGAAGGTTTTATAAAGAAGTTATTTATTGGAAAGTAGTATTGTATACTGCTGTGTGTAATCTTTTATACAACTTCATTCTACATAACTTTAGAAAATTAAATATGGCAGAACATTAAAGCTGACAATTTGAGGGACCATCAGTTAGCATAATGGCTATGTCACTGGAGTCCCATGTAGTCGACCGCTGTTCGAGTCCTGGACCCGGTGGCTTAAACTCATGCCGGGTGCAGGTGCATGCTTGCCCATGATCCTGAGAGGAGAATGGAGGAGAAAGGATTGTGGTGTGGCCATCCCCCCTGGGGGGTGATTTCTCACTTTCTCTCTCTCTGTCTCTCTCTTTCTGGTGAGCGCACATGCCCTATAGTGAAAACCTCTCAAAAAAAAAAAAAAAAAAAAAGAAAGTTGACAATTTGAGAAATACCATAGTGAAACTTTCCTTTTTTACTTTTATTTGCTACAGGATGTGTGCACTCGCTGAAGAGAGATAGGGGTGGGGAAGTGAGAAAGCATCCCCCACAGGGGATAGCCACACTGCAATCCCTTCTCTCTTTTCACCCTTTGGGATCTTCACACACATGGGCCTGTTGTGTTTCTCAAGCCACTGGGTCCAGGACTCAAACCACACAGTCAGCCATGTGGAATCCATCCACTGTAACCACCACATCGCACACTGGCCCCACAAGTGAGGTTTCCTCCATACTGTATCACCCCCTTAGGAGGACTTTTTGGAGTCTAATTACTTAATACACAACACATACATGTTATATATGCCATGTAATTGTAGGTAAGCAGTCAGTGTTTTAATGGAGTTTAAATTAGGAAATTATAATACTATTAATGTACTTTTGTCTCATTTCAATAGGATTATTCAAAATAGAGTTCTTGCCATTTTCAACAAGGATTGATGATCAAAATGATTCTCTTTAAGAAGAGATGTCCAAGTTAAATATGAGAAGAAAATGCTGGAATCAGTTGGATTCTGACAGGTTAAGGAATACAATGTTTCACAGTTACTTGTAATGGAAAATTTGTGAGATTCATCGCTTGTCATGCACCCAACTGGGAACATGGATGTTGGTTTTTCTCGTTCAGCTGTTCAGACACTGTCAAGAAGCCACTGCAAAAACATTAAACAAAAAATTTCTCAGTGGGAAGGAAGGACCAATGGTATATCTAATCCAGATAAGTGGCATGCAAAGGACTTTGGAGTGAGATATAACTTCCGTGGAGAGATTCTTCCTAAGAAAAATCCTGTTGCTGAGGGAAAGCGCAAAAACTCAGACCTAAGCAGTTCTCCAAATGAGGTTCTAGATATAAATGAAGATGCCAAAATCCATGGTCAAAGTGAGGATGAAAGTGAGAAACAGGAGTATGATGATGCACACGTCTTGAAAAATAAATCAGAGTCCCGCAAGGTATGTTCTCAGATCCAACAGATTGAAAGCTGGAAAAAAGTTGTTTTGGACTCAGAGACTTCATTACCTCCAGGAAACTTCTATACCTCACAGTTATTGTGGAAGAAAATAGAAGCACTTCCCCCAGATAAAGTCTTAAATTTGGCTTTAGAACACTGTGACTCTTCAGAAAAAGAACTGGATTTCAGAGTTCTGGATAGTTCATATGGAATAACCAAAAGCTTAGAAAATATTTACTCTGAACCTGAAGGGCAAGAATGTGGTCCTTCTATAAATCCTTTGCCAAAACCTCGTAGGACATTCAGATATTTATCTGAATCTGGTGTTATGCCATATAAAGAAAGAAACTGTGACAGAAAATACTGTGAAAATAATTCTTGTGCAGAATCTTCTTTGGCCTCTTCTCAAGAACCTGAACCAAAGAAATATGGTGGGAAAATCAGAGGGAGATCTAAAAGGTATATTTTTATTCTACAGGTAATGATTTGTAATCCTTACAGGATTGTTGAGCTTCTTTTTACTTTCCAAACCAATTTTCATGTTTCAGTTTAGGTTACAGTCCTTATTTGAACATACAGATGTTGATTAATGTGGAGGGAAAATAAGAGGAGGAAAAAGTATAGGTAATATCCAAGCAAGTCTACTCACAGAAGAACATTAGAAAGCCTTCCAAGTTACAGCTTTAAGAATCTGTAGAGAAGCATTATGTTCTTCCACTTTATTTAAGGAATGCTGGCCTTAGCCCCATTAGTCATTAGGGAGTGAACTTATAAATAAAGGAATGCAGTGAAGAACATGAATGTGGTTGGCCAAAACCCTCCAGTTTTTTGTGCATAGGGCATAAAAACCTAGTTTATTATTCTTAGATCTCTGATAGAAACACCTTTGTAATTTTGCACACAAGTCTTTTACTTACTGATTTCTGTCTACGGTACAAGTTCAAAGAAAATTGGAGTTTTGAAAGCTATAACTTTGAAATATATCTCCTTTTTAAAGGAAATCCTTTGAATTTGAGGATATTCAGCACTTTCGAAATCGGAATTCACAGAAGATTCATGAACTTGGAAGAAATTCTGGTTCGGCACTTTATTACACACATTCTGAAGACAATATCTATGAGGATATCATATGTAGGTGTTCACAACTTTGCAATTATATTTAATGAGTATGTATTTGGTGAAGTTAATTGTAGGATGTTATTTTCTTCCATAATCAAGCATATCTTGCTGTAGGTTTTTTCTTTTACTTTTTTTTTAAGTTTTTTTTTTTCTTGACAGAAAAAAGATGGCACCATCAGAAGGGTCTCATTCTGAGATCTGTTCCTACCCCTCAACCTTTCAGCCAACCAGGATCACTGGCACATGCATGGGCATCCCCAGCATGTACAGTTGACCCAGAATCAAGCTCCAGTATTTTTTTATGGCTTCCAGTATTGCAGAGTGTTGTACTACTCTGCACCACCATGGCTGGGCCTAGATTTTTCTTTTTATTATGAAATCTTTTGAGTATAATTTCTTCTTTTATCTAATTAACTTTATAATTAGTTTAATGGACTGCTCAATTCAGAAGTAGGTGTCTATAGCCTAGTGTTTTGTGAATTCTTTTAGCTTAGATGGATCTTAAGTGGTTTTTGAAGCTTAATGTGTCACTAATCTTGAGACATTCCTACAGCAGTGTAGAATAAGAACACTGAACATAGTGTTTTTCATTTCTTCTGCTAGTTGTGGTTCCTTGTTTCCATTTAATTATGTTTCTCTAAACATTTTTTCTTTTTTTTTTTTTTTAAAGATCCTTCCAAAGAAAACCCTTATGAGGATATTCCAGTGCAGCCTTTACCCATGTGGAGATCCCCTTCAGCATGGAAGCTACCACCCCCTAAAAGTACTTTCAGAGCACCAAAGGTATAACCAGAGAACTAACTGCGGAAAACATTAGAATCAGGCTAATGATCACTACTACGGAAGTGTTAAGATTAACTGAGGCCAAAACTAAGAGGCACTGAAACTAGGTTTATTGCGCTGCTTGGTGTTTTGGCTGGTTTTGTTTTCTTGACAGCGTATAGTTTTTGGTTTAATTTGTTTTATTACTATTGTTTTTGTTGTTGTTTTAGCACTTCAAAAAAAATGAGACTATGAGTGTCTTTAGACAGTCATAAATTTTTCAGTTCATTGTTGACCTCATCATTCACTGTTAGTCTCATGCAATCTGTGGCCTAAATTACCTGCCTGGTTTCTTTTTTTTTTTTTTTTGGAGAGATTTTCACTGTAGGGCGCATGCGCTCGCCAGACAGACAGACAGAGACATAGAGACAGAAAGCGAGAAATCACCCCCCAAGAGGGGATTACCACGCTGCAATCCCTTCTCCTCCATTCTCCTCTCGGGATCTTGGGCACGCACGCACACGCGCCTGGCGTGAGTTTTAAGCCACCGGGTCTGGTACACGAACCGCGGTCGACTACGTGGGAGTCCAGCGACATAGCCATTACGCTAACTGCTGGTTCCCCCTGCCTGGTTTCTGAGAGCATTTGAGACCTATAGAAGCAAAGATTCCCTTGAGTAACTGAAGACTATGAGCTGTTGTTTTCTGGGAATTTGATTACATTGTAGTAGAATTTTGTATTAGAAACTTATTTGCAAGTGCTGCAAAAAATTATGGTACAGTAAAATCATTTGAGATGATTTTAAAGGAAAAACAAGATAAATATTTTTCTGATGTAACCTGGACTTTTTATGAGACCACAGGCATTACATATTATAGATAATCTTAGCCTTACCCTTCTCCTGTTTTAGCTTCCTCCCAAACCTCAGTTCCTTCACCGGAAGACTATGGAACTGAAGAACTCACAAGCTTATTTACGGTCAAAGCTCACAAAGGATACCACTTTGCCTGTCACTTTAACTGAGTGGAAGCTCTTCCGCGCCGGAGAAGTTGCAAACAGGAAAAGGAAAAATCTCCCAAGGGTAAGGACTTCTTTACTACTTTCATTCTTCAACTCAGGTTTTAGTATTTCCATAAATGAGAGTAAATAAACTTTAGATTGAAGTAATTAATATGTTAAAACTAACCTACTGGAATTAGAAGATTTGGAAAGCATCCTTAAATTTAAAATTTTTGCTTATGCAAGTTAAGCGCATGAATGACTTTTGCCAGGGTTTCTTTAAGGATTTGGAAAATTGATAGTAGATGGTGGGCCTCCCTCTCATTGAAAACAGCTGCCTGTTATAGGGAAGTACCAGAATCAAATATAAAAGGGCATTCTATCAAAGGGCTTCAGTGTAGTTCTAACTCACTTGCTTATATAATTGTAAGAGTTCAGTTTTATGCCTGAGTTGACAGATTTCCAGTATATGCCATTAATTTGGGGCAGAATTTTTAATTCAGAGAAAGAAGAAATCCAACTACTACTCAGCAATAGAAATGATCGCAGTCATACTAAATAAATGGCTTTTTCCTCAAAAGAGAAAAGGCAGTAAACTTGTAAATTATCTCAACTACAGCTATTGCAACAAATATGAAGAAATTAAGATTACTTATAGGGTGGTTAAGGAGGATCCTATATGGCCAGCTGTGTAATTGAGTCAGGACTCTGCAGTTTGAGAAACAAGCCAGTCTCGTGTGTGTCTATGTCCAGGATCCCAAAAGGAGGAAGAAATGGAGAAGAGATTGCCTTGTGACCATTCCCCATGGGGGATACTTTTTCTCTTTCCTCTCTGTCTCACTCTGGTGAGTGCACACACCTTCCGGCAAATTTTTAAAAAATATTACTTATTCTCGGGAGACCAGCAGTTGGAGCAATGGCTATGTTGCTGGACTCCCATGTAGTCAACCATGGTTCAAGTCTCAGACCCAGTGGCTTAAACTCACACCAGGTGTGTGTTCATGTGTGCCCAAGATCCCAAGAGGAGAATGGAGGAGAAGGGATTGCAGCGTGGCTATCCCCTCTGGGGGGTGATTTCTAACTTTCTGTATCTCTGTATCTCTGGCGAGCGCATGTGCCCTATAGCAAAAACCTTTCCCCCCACAAAATATTACTTATTCTCAGAGATTTTCTTTTAGGAGAGAGACTTGAGACATAACATGAAAATATTTTTCAATTCTCTATGTTACTTTGTTCTTCTGTTGAATTTTCAGGATTGACAAAATACTATACAGATCCTACGCAGTAATGAAGATCCAGATCATTTAAATATTTCTTTCCTTAATCTCACCTGAATTAGCTATATGTATTAATTTAGCACATAATTTTGGTACCTGCCTTTAACATTAAACAAAAACACAGCTGGTTCTCAGTTTAGTAACTGCTGATTGGTTCTTTGGGAAGTATTCTGTCCTACAGTTACTTCAGTTCTTCTCATCTGTTTCCTGCCCCTTCCTCTTTAGTATGCAAAAAGTTGAAAGTACTAAACTGATCTCCCTTAGTGAAAAAAAAAAATCATTAGCTATTTAGTCCCCTGTGTATGGTGAGGAGTATGTCAAAGTCAGAGGTTTGAAGAATTGCATCCTGCAATAGCTCTCTCCATGCTTAGATGATGGTGGCACAACAGAGCAACTTCCCACATGGCCCAGAAACAACATGTCATGTGTTGACGGGGAAGGATGCAGATACCCAAGGACTGCATCGAAGATGTGGTTCTTGGACTAAACCCTTTAGGATATCCCACGTGCGATACAGATATTTAGGAATTATGGACTGTATCGTTAACTGCGATAGGAGATTTTAGTAGTCTTGATTTCAGTGTTTTATGTACTGCAGATCACCAGTACTCGAAGCTTAGTCTCCTTGTGATTATAAGTACTATGATCCAACTTCCTCTGTTGTGTATTTTCCCAAAGGCTTTTGGAGAAGTGGGGAGAAAGAAAATATGATGACCTCTTGATTGCTGGGTAGGAATAGGCTGTTTACATGTCTAACCACGACTCTTCTTGGATTAAACTCTTTTAGGATATTCCATATGCAGTACAAATTTTGGCTTTAGATTATTTTCAGCAACAACATTCCATAAGTAAAGGAGTTTTCGGGACCAACAGTTGGAATAATGGCTCTGTCGCTGGACTACCATGTAGTCGACTGCAGTTTGAGTCCCAGACCCGGTGGCTTAAACTCATGCGTGCGTGCCCAAGATCCCAAGAGGAGAATGGAGGAGAAAGGATTGCGGTGTGGCCATCCCCCACTGGGGCTGATTTCTCGCTTTCTGTGTCTCTGTCTCTCTGGCAAGTGCACACGCCCTATAGTAAAAAACAAACAAACAAAAAACAAAAAAAAACCTCTCCCCTAAAAAAAAGAAAGAAAGAAAAATAAAAAAAAGAGAAAAGGAGTTTTCATTTATTTTTCCTTTGATGATTCCAGCTGTCCCTGGAAGGGAAACTGCTCACATCGTTTGAAAATCACTGATCTAGTTCCATATGCCTCTTCCCCACCCTTCCTTTCTCTCCCTGCTGTGGAAGCCTGTGTGGGATTGTTTGCTGGTGTACATTTCCTAATGTTTTATATTGTTCATGTCGTGTATACAAGATTATAGTTTTGATTATTCCTTAGGAAGAAATTTTGCAGTGTTTTCTACCACTAGAGGGTAAATGTAATCCCTCTTTCTAGCTCATAGTGGAAATAAAAATTTTTCACTTTATCTCAGATTCATAGAACAGATATTTTTCCTTTACTTTATAATGTTTGAGTATGATTTGCTTATACTTTTCAAACACACATTGGTAATTATACCGTGATGGGTTAATACATTAAAAATAGGTTTCTCATACATCTTTCCTGTATCCCCTGACGACACCGTTCATTTGGGGTTCTTTTCTTTCTTGTAATGATATTCGAGAACATTGGCAGTTTTTCACTTTAGTGGTAGCTACAAAAATCTTTCAGAGAAGGAATTCATCCAAAAATATGGGAATAATCTGCATATTGGAAGCACATGTTTCTCACTTTTTTTTTGCACTGGACTGATTGATTCACTGCTTGTTGATTCCCAGAATTGCTAGAGAAAAAAGGACAAGAAAGAAAGTAACATTTTTTTCAAGCAGTTTTGTTGGTTGTCATGTAGTATTTTTAACTATTGTAATTCTCGGCATTAAATTAAATCAGGATTAATACTTTAAAAATTTGGAATTTTAAGACAAAAGAAAAATATACATAAAAATAAAAATCAATTCCTCCTTTTAAAAGTTGATCAGGGGACCAGCAGTTAGCATAATGGCTATGTCGCTGAACTCCCATGTAGTCAACCTCAGTTGGTGACTTAAACTCACGCTGGGCACATGTGCGTGCCCAAGATTCCGAGAGGAGAATGGAGGAGAAGGGATTGTGGTGTGGCCATCCCTGCTGGGGGATGATTTCTCGCTTTCTGTCTCTCTCTTTCTGTGAGCGCATGCGCCCTATAGCAAAAAAAAAAAAAAAAAAAAAAAAAGTTGATCAGTACTGGAACCAGGCGTTGGGTGAAATGACCAGCAGTTGGTGTAATGGCTATGTTACTGGACTCCCATATAGCCGACTGAGGTTTGAGTCCCGGACCCTGTGGCTTAAGCTCAACACCGGGGGCATGTGTGTGCATGCCCAAGATCCCGAGAGGAGAATGAAGGAGAGGGGATTGTGGAGTGGCCATGCTCCCTGGGGGGGTGATTTCTCGCTTTCTGTCTCTCTGTCTGTCTCTGTCTTTCTGGTGAGCGCATACGCCCTCTAGCAAAAACCTCTCAAAAAAAAAAAAAAAAAAGTTGATCAGCATTAACTCTTTTCTTTTTGACCCCAGTCTGTGTTTTCCATCTCTCTGTGTCTCTCTCTCAGCCTCTCTCTCTCATACACACACCTCCCAGCAGCAAAGAAATCATTCTAATGAGTAATGCAAATAGAGAGAAGCAGTTCTATAATAATTAAAAAAAAAAATGGTCTGGGTTCTACTCCCTTGAGGTATATATAGACTGGTAAACAAAAGAGAAAAAAAATAGCTTTAGTTCTTCAGTATATTCGAGAATCTCCTATTTAATAACATATTTCTAAATTAAATTATAATGCTGGTACTCCCAATAGCAGAGAGATAGAGTATTCCCTTTGACAAAAGCTTTCTAATAGTGGTTGTCTCCTCTAGGGAGAATTCCTGGGATCAGAAATAACTAAGCCTCATCTTGCCTTTCAAGTGATTGAGTGTTCCACTTCCTACTTGGGCAAACAAAAACCTGAATATAATAATAAAGGCTTGGTCCCTGTAAGGAATACAGTACACATATTTTCTGCACATTGTGACATGGAGTGACAAGGCTCTCTAAGAGTGTGCTGGGTTCATCTGAAAATAAGATAATCTTTCTCAATATTATATGGTCTTAGTACTATTATAGAACAAAATTCTTTTTTTTTTTTTTGAGAGGCTTTTGCTATAGGGTACGTGCACTCACTAGAAAGACAGAGAGACAGAGAGACAGAAAGCAGGAAATCACCCCCACCAGGGGAGATGGCCATACTGCAATCCCTTATCCTCCATTATCTTCTCGGGATCTTGGGCATGCACACACACGCACCTTAAGCCACTGGATCCGGGACTTGAACCATGTTTGACTACATGGTAGTCCAGTGACATAGCCATTACACCAACTGCTGGCCCCAAACAGAATTCTTATCTAACTGAAGATCATCATTTAAGGGGCCAGTAGATAATGTAGTAATTATGTTGCTGGACTCCCACATGGCCAACCACAGTTTGAGTCCTGGACCTGGTGGCTTGAAACTCACACTGGTCATGTGTGCATACATGCCTAAGATCCCAGGAGGAGAATGGAGAAGAAGGAATTGTGGCATGGCCATACCCTTGGAGGCAATTTCTCACTTTTCCTCTCACTGTCTCTGACTCTCTGGCAAGTGCACGTACCCTAAGGCAAAGATCTCTTTTTTTAAAAAGAGATCATCATTGGGACCAGCAGGTGGCATTGTGGTTAAGGGGCTGAACACTCCCACATGGCCTACCAGGGTTTGAGTCCCTGAGCTGGTGACTTGCTTTCTCACTTTCCCTCCCTCCCTCTCTTTCTCTCTCTCTTTCTGTGATCAAATTAAAATAAAATGAATAAATAAAATCAAATAAATAATTCTTAAAAAATATAATTTTAGATTCAAAAATTTTAAATGTAACAGTTTTTATTTATAAAAATACATCCTTTATCTGAGTGAAATTCACTATGAAACGTGAGTTTTGAGTTTGAACTTCTATTTTTTCTGGTCTATTTTCAGCTTGTATTGAAAATAGATGACATATTTGAATCTAAGAGAGGGAAGAAGAGGGTAAAGTTACACCCTTACACTGGAAAAGAAGCACCTCCTTCAAAAGGTAAGAATTGTATTCTGGGGCCAACTGGTTATGTGGTGGTTAAGGCAGCTAGATCCCACATGGCCAACTTTGCAGTTCTAGTCCCAGACCCAGTGGCTTGAAATACATGGTGGGCACGTATGGGTGTGTGCCCAAAATCCTGAAAGGAGAGATGAAGAAAGAATGGCCATCCCCATGGAGAGTGATTTCTCAGTCCCCTCCCCTTCTCTCTTTCTCTCTTCGGTGAGCATATATGCAAAAAAAAAAAAAAAAAACAGTTATAAACAAGTGAGACTAATTTTCACTAGCAGATTGAATCATCATTTTGTAGTACTACTTTGATATAATTATTTAACAATATAGACTCACAGTGGATAAATGAAAACATTGAGTAGGTATAGACTGAAAGTAAGTGGTACAACTTGTAATCATTTAATAAGCTTTATCCTCAAGATGACTAGATAAAACTTACATTGTCTTAATTAAGAAACTTTCCACACTCAGAGGGCTGGATGGTGGGGCAGTGGTAAAATACACACTCTATTAGACTGACCCATGTGGGAAGGTTTCAGGTTTACGTTTGGGCACCTCCCTGAGTACACCTGGCACATATGTGCCCACAGTTCGGAGCTGGCAAAGGTTAGGATTAGATCATGACATCAAGACCTTGTTGGGGGCCAGCAGGTGGCATGGTGATTAAAGGCACTGGACTTCCACCTGCTGACAATAGTTTGAATCTCAGACCTGGCGATTTGTTTTCTCACTTTCCCTGTCCGTCTGTCTCTGATAAAGTTAAAAAAAAGAAAAGTTGTAATAATGATAAATAAAGTCAAATAAATAATTCTTAAAAACAAAAAGACCTTGTTGGAAGGGTACTGTCTCTGCCTCTGTCTTTTTCTCATTCTCTCACTCGAAGAGGGAAATAAACTTTAAAAAAAAAAAAAGGAAACTTTCAGCATTCGTTATGAATTACTAGAATTGTCTTCAGAATGCATATGAGACTCTTAGTTTGGTTGTCTGGCAAAAAATATGTAGAATTTAGCGATTTTTGTTTATAAGATTCATGAGTAATAAAAAAGCCAAGTCATACCAGAGGAGAATATATCTAATTTTTTGCAGACTTCCAAAGACAGAAAATTTTCATTACCTCTTTCAAACCTAACAACTATATTCAAACAACTTACTGTCTAAAAATAAATTCTTCGGTGATACAACTTAAGATTTTTTTCACTCTGTGATGATTAAAATCAGTTGACCTTCCTTTTTGTTAGTTTTCATATTCTCAAAGGCAGTTATTAAAACGTGTCTCAGTCTTCTCTGGGGAAGATACTTCTAGTTATCATTTTTTTTCTCTTTCTTCTTCCATAAACTGAAGAGAGACAGAGTGACAGGCACCCGAAGGGGTCCTCTCACAGTTGAGCCAGCTTTAGATTACGGGCATGCATGTGCCCAGCATAGTCAAGGAGATCTCCAGAAGTGAACTCAAGACCTTCTCATGTGGGTCAGCTCACAGAGAGTTATGTTACTACTGAGCTCTGTCTAGCCTCTGTTACTATTATTAGCAATAGCTACCATTTATTGAAGGAAGTAATCATTTCTTTATATACTTCATCTCATACATAACACATGACTATACTAGGAAGTGAGGACTCTTTCAATTTTACAGATGAAGAAGCTAAACCAGAGCAGGAAGCATAGACTGAGTCCAGGAACATGGCTTCACAAAATCATACTCTTTTCTGTCACCAGTGGTAGTTTTTCTCAGATTTTTAGCAGTTTAATTGTTTTGTCCCCGTGCTTCCTTATCCTCAACAAGGATATTGTTGGAGGTTTTTTATCTGCATACTTCAGAACTAGGTAAAGAAAATAAAAATGGATGTGAAATTCTGTACTGTATATTTTCTGACATTATTATTAATTCTCTACGTAACCCTGTGTTTTAGTCTATTTTAGTATTGCTATCAGAGATACCCAAGACTGGGTGATTTACAAAGAATCATGGATTTATTGTGAAGTCCAAAGGTATAAACCTAACATCAGGCTGGCCTACAACATGGCCAGAAGAAGCATACAGGATGACAGGCATGGGGGTGGGGGGGGAAGAGAATCTTCTGACAGCTTTTATTTTGTAATAGCCAGCTCTCAAGAACTAACCTCTTTTCATGAGAGCTAGGACTGACTGGGCTTCAGGAGACATCACTGATCTATTCATGAGACCGTTGCCTCCATGATGCAAATCACTGAGTCCATTTACGCCCACTAGGCCTCACCAGCTCTCATTGTCTAATTCTGACACTTGAAACTTTGAGGGACAAGCCATAATTCTTTGTGTGGCAGATGTTATTGTGACTCTTTCATAAATAAGGAAATAAAGTATAAATTGCAAATTATACAAAATAGGAAGACACTGGGGCCAGGACACGTGCTTGTAAAACTTCATTTTCCCAGATTGGCAGCAGTCCAGTGATAACTACTCTCCAGTTACTCTACTCTAACTAGGTTATTACCAATCCCTTATTTTATTTGTATGCTTTTGTGTCTTATGGATTTGGAACATTTTAGTAAGTTTTGCTCTAAAACCACTTTTTTATTTTTGTTGGAGGGGGAGGAGACCAGCCAGTGGCATGGTGGTTAAGATGGCTGGATCTCACATGGCCCAATGCATGATTCAAGTCCCAGACCCGATGACTTGAAAAACACACCCAGCGAATGTAGGTGCATGCCCAAAATTCCAAGAAGAGAATGAGAAAGGGGCCATTCCCCCTCAGGAGTCATTTCTTTCTCTCTCCAGTAAATGCACACACCCTATAGCAATTTTTAAAAAATAAAATAAAACAAAGGTTTTTATTTATTTTTCTATGAGAGACAAATGAAACAGGCACCCCCAACAGGGTCCTCATGCATTCCTCATTTCCCCACCCCATTTCAGCTGCTCCCATGTGTACCTGGGATGTTGAAGAAAGTACTAGGATATGAACTTGACCTTTCCCTTGAGGATCTAGCAGTATCACCACTTTGCCACCATCTGGCCTCTCTGAGATGATTTTTTGAAGAGCTAAATCTTTTTCTGTTTTTTTTTTTAAACCACCATTGTTAAAAACAAACAAACAAAAAATTAATCAATAGCCTAAATTGCCAACTTCTAGCACCACCACCAAAAAAATGGAGCTGTCCCTATATTGTAACCCTTCCCTAAAAGTTTGTTTTTCTTTTGCATGATTCAAAGAAAATTGCATTTTTCTATCCTCAGTGACGAACTCTCCTGTTAAATAGAAGAATTTCACACCCAGGAATCTCCTGGCTCCATCATCACAGTGCTCAGATTTTCCTTTTTCTCCTTAAGCTTTTGTGTGTGTGTATCAACAATACCTAGTAGAGTGAGACAGTGAGACAGTCAGTGCATGCTAAAGTTGACTGAGTGTATCCCAACTTAAAACATTTCTTAACTTTCAGTTTTCGGATGTTACAAAATGACTTTTTCAACTCTGTCATTATAATTCTGTGTATTGAAGTCACATATTAAAAAAGGAAGACAATCTAGTACATTTTTGATCCCTACAGAGTCTTGTTAGATTTCCTTATTGGTTTATAATCCCTTTAGCCTTCACTCAGTGTCTTGGAATGTAGGTCATCAAAACCCGTAGGTGTGACTATAGTAAAATCACTTAAATGATCTTTTGTAAGGTCTTTTCCAGTTGCTCTTTTTCTTTTCTTTTCTTTTTTTTTCTTTTAGTTTTTTAGTTTTTATCATGTGGTATGTGTGCTCACCAGAGAGGAGAGAGACAGAGATGCAGAGAGGGGAAGTGAGAAATCAGCCCCTAGAAGGGATGGCTATGCTGCAGTCCCTTCTCCATTCTTGTCTTGGTATTTGGGGCAGGTATGAACACATGCCCAGCAAGATTTTCAAGGCTCCAGGTCCAGAACTCAAACCATGCTTGGCCATATGGGAGTCTAGTGCCTTAACCACCATGCCTCCTGCTGGTCCCACTCTTTTTACCTTCCCCCTTTCTTTTCTTTCTTGTCAACCACCTTATAATCTCCTAAGAGGGACCTGATGCTAAGGATACAGATGAGACTCAGAGCCCATCTTTATATCCCCACTATGCTTTTTGTTATGGTGACTTATTTGAGGTTAGAAAACCTGTATATGAGGGGACTTCAAAAAGTTCATGAAGGGGCAGGACCAGCAGTTGGCATAATGGCTATGTTGCTGAACTCCCACATAGTCAACTGTGGTTCGAGTCCCGGACTCAGTGGCTTAAACTCACTCACGCTGGGCTCATGTGCGTGTGTGCCCATCTCCTCTTGAGAATGTAGGAGAAGGGATTGCGCTGTGGCCATCCCCCCTGGTGGGATGGTGATTTTTCACTTTCTCTCTCAATGCCTGTCTCCTGCAACTGTATGAGCCCTACAGCAAAAAAAAAAAAAAAAAAGGAAAGAAAAGAAAGAAAGAAATCTTTTTAAAAAGTTTAATTCACTAATGTACTTCAGAGTTCTTTCAGTATCATCATGTAGAGATCCACATAGTTATACTGTATATTGATTAAAAATAATTTTATTTAGTGTCAAAATAAACTTGTACTTTACTTCCATTTTCCATAAGCCATTTATTCATGGTGTGTGTGTGTGTTTGTATCTTCAAACAATGCTTCAGTATGCATCCTTTCACTTAGATTTTTGTATATTTATAAGAATATATCTGGGACGGGAACCAGCAGTTAGCATAATGGCTATGTTGCTGGACTCCCACGTAGTAGACCACAGTTCATGTCCCAGACCCGGTGGCTTAAAACTCATGCTGGGCGCGTGTGCGTGCATGCCCAAGATCCCGAGAGGAGAATGGAGGAGAAGGGATTGCGGCGTGACCATCCCCCCTGGAGGGGTGATTTCTCACTTTCTGTCTCTCTGTCTCTGTCTGTCTGGCGAGCACATGCGCCTTATAGCGAAAACCTCTCCAAAAAAAAAAAAGCATTTATCTGGGACCAGCTGCATTATGGTTAGGGCAGCTGTATCCTACATAGCTGACTAAAATTTGAGTCCCAGACCTGACAGCCATTAGAAGACATGTGTGTGTGCATGCCCAAAATCCAAAAAAAAAAAAAAAAAGGTGAAACAGAGGATAAGTTGTGATGTAACCATCTCTTATGGGGAGTAGAGTGCTTCCTCATTTCCCTCTGTCTCTTTTTCTGTCTCCAGCAAGCACATCTGCTCTTTGGCAAATTAAAAATACACACACACATACTTGTAGAATAAGTTCTTAGCAGTAGACTTAAAGAATATGTGGATTTACGTTCCAAGCTGTAGACCTGAAGAATACGTGGCATGGTGGTTAAGGTGCTGGACACTCCCACATGGCCGACCACAATTTAAGTCTTTTTTTTTTTTGAAGGTTTTTGCTATAGGGCACGTGCACTCGCCAGCCAGACAGAGAAAGACATAGAGACAGAAATCACCCCCCAGGGGGGATGGTCACGCCACAGTCCCTTCTCCATTCTCCTCTTGGGACCTTGGGCACGCACGCACACACGCCTGGCGTGAGTTTTAAGCCACCGGGTCGGGACGCAAACCACAGTCGACTACGTGGGAGTCCAGCGACATAGCCATTACGCTAACTGCTGGTTCCCCACAGTTTAAGTCTTGAACCTCGTGACTTGCTTTCTTGCTTTCCTGCTCTCTCTCTTCCTCTCTTTGTCTCTGTGTGTGTCTCTCTCTCTGGTCAAATAAAAATGAATGAATGAATAAATAAAATTAAATAATTCTTTAAAATAAAAAAAGAATATACGGATTTAAAATTTTTTATAGCTGCTGCCAGTTGTCCCCAAAACAGATTGTAACAGTTTATGTTAGTACAGATATAATTTGATAATGCCTTTTTCATGTAATCTTTACTAATATTGTGTTTTACTAAAGCTTTCTGTTTTTTTTTTGTTGTTGTTGTTTTGCCGATATCACGTTTGAAAATTTGTATCTTGGGCCCAGTCTGGCATGGTGTTTAGGCAGCTGATTCCCACATGGCCAACTGCATGCCTCAAGTCCTGGACTCTGTGGCTTGAGAAACACACTATAGGCACATGTGCATGTGTGTGTGCCCAAAATCCCAAGAGGAGAAATAGAAAAAAAGGAATTGCAGTGTGACCTTTCCCTATGGGGGTTGCTTTCTATCTGTCGCTCATTCTCTCTCCCATTCTCTCTCTCTCTCTCTCTCTCTCTGGTGAGCACATGTATCCTCTGACAAAACAAAAAAAAGTTGTATCTTATTTATGGTTTTAATTTCTATTTCTTTCACTATGAATTTTAGTAATTGTTTATCAACAATTTATAAATCATTTTCTATGAATTGCTTATTCCTAACTGATAGTCCTTTTTCTGTTGTGTATTTTTCTTCTTGATTCATTACAGCTATTTAAATGTTAAGAAACTTGGGGACCAGCAGGTGGTGTGGTGGTTAGGGCTCTGGACATAGCCGACCACTGTTCAAGTCGTGGGCCTAGTTTTATTTCTTGCTATCCTCCCCGCCAGTGTCTCTCTCTTTCTCTCTAGTTTAATGAAAATAAATGAATTACTAAATAAAATAAATAGTACTTTAAAAAGTAAATAAATGTTAAGAAATTTAACCTCGTATTTGTAATGTGTTTACAATTATTAGGTTGTTGAGAAAGTCATGACATATTTTTCTGTGCAAAAATGCATCATGATGTTCCTGATGACCCTATATTTTCTCAGTTTATTGTCCATCTTTTTTTTTTCCCCAATTGCCAGAGGGCACATGCACTCACCAGAGACAGAGAAAAAAAGGGAAAAAGTGCCCCCCAATGGGGTGTGGTCACACTATAGCTCCTTCTCTTCCAATTTTCCCTCTTGCCAGAATTTTGGACACACATATATGCCTGGTGTGTGTATTCGAACTATGGTTGGCCTTGAAGGATATGGCACTATTAATGGATATGCTATGGGACTAACCCAATTGTTCACCTTTTGCATTTACTAATAATTTTTTAATAAGAAATTTTAGGGGCCAGCAGGTGGCATGGTGGTTAAGGGACTGGACTCCCACATGGCTGACCATGGTTCGAGTTCCAAACCTGGCAGCTTGAAAATCACACTGGGCATGAGTGCTTGCATGTCCAAAATCACAGGCGAAGAATGGAGAAGGGATTGTGGTGTAGCCATCTCCTCCAGAAGGTGATTTCTCACTTTCTGTCTCATTGTCTCTTTCTTTGTCTCTCTGGCAAGTGCACACGCCCTTTGGCAAAGCCTTAAAAAAAAAATTTATAATTGTGTATAATCTAATTTGCGTTTATTTTCATCTTCTTGGTCTTATTTTAACAAATATTTTTAAAAGATTTTCTTGGGGTTGGCAGGTGGTATGGTGATTAGGTTCTGGATTCCCACATGGCTGACTGTGGTTCAAAGTCCTGGACCTGGC